CCAACTGGATTAATATATCAATTTGAAGGTGATCCATCATTTTTAGGTAATGATAAATACTGGATCCCTAGGGCTGGGATGCAGGGGTAGCGTGTAATAATGATAGTAAAAGCGTCACAGCCTGACGCATCAGCCAAGATGGCTTATACCTATATGGTATTTTTATTTTAAATTTTTAATTTTTGTTAATTTATTTTTAATACATCTAAATTAAGACCCCTACCTATACGCCTAGACATCCATGCGCCCTTTCCCCTATGCCTCGCCTCCCGAGGCCGTTAGGGAGCCGAGACCGAGGCCTAGCCTACCCCTAACGGGAGGCATAGGGGAAAAAGGAGAAAAAAGGGGAAGGGAGGCATGGCTAGGGTCCCGTCACGGCCTCGGGAGAGACAGCCTTCGACGTATGCACATATATCCCGATCCCGATCCCGATCCCGATCCCTACGCCTACCCCTAACGGGAGGCATAGGGGAAGGGGAAGGGGAAGGGGAAGAGGGGAAGGAAAAACCAAGAGATACATGCGCCCACCCTTTAATGTTTTCAGCGGAGCTGCTTCGACGCTTAGTAAAAACTTGGTGTGAATCCGCTAACCGAATTCGATTTTCATGTTTTTCCTTATGGTGCCGTACGGCGCCGTACGGGTTAAAGGATTTAAAAGGTACGCATTACTTTAACCCTGCACCGGCAGGGTTAACTGATAATCTTAAAGATTCAGTGATAATACTGCTTATGAATTCAATACCTTCTCACATCCCGAGGCCGTTAGGGAGCCGTTATCCCGTGTCCGCCTAGGCACCGATCCCGATCCCTCCCGTACGGGGCCCCGAGGCCGTGACGGGACCCGAGGCCGTTAGGCACCCGTCGCCTACCCCTAACGGGAGGCAGACGGGATAGGGGGTGGCCGGGAAGGAATAGGTAGACATATGAATCCTTAAATAAATATGTATTTTAAAATACTTTTATAGTTATTTTATAAAAAATATATTGGAATATTTATTAAAATTTTACTTTCTATCAAAATTTTCGATGCATCGAAGACTTAGGCATGTGTTTTAGAAAACTGGCTTAGAAAATAAAGCAAAAATAAAGCGTCTTCTAGCTTAGTCAAAATATTGTGATTTACTTCAGTCTATTTTAGATATTAAATCAAATGATTATGATTTAGAACTTAGTGAAATACCTATTCTTTAATTTTTTTATTATTCCTAAAGGATTTGAAAAAGATTTTACTGTCTTTAGCTATTGGGGGGGTAGAAAATTATTTTATTTTAATAATTATTTATTTAGTAAAATAGTAATACATGCACCGTTATCTCTGCGCCCCTCTTCCCCGTCTGCCTCCCGTTAGGGGTAGGCGACGGGTGCCGTCACGGCCTCGGGAGCCGTTAGGCTTAGGCTTAGAGCCGGAAGGCGGGTCCGCCGGCGACGTATTATTTATTATTAAGTTTAGTTATATACATTCTAATTACTTGTTGAACTGTAAATAAAGGTAAAAAATATTTAGAAATAATATAAATTAAAGCAAGTAAAGTTAAGAATGAAAATGATAATTGATTTACAAAATAAAAAGGTATTAATTGAGGCATTATTAAATATAAACATATATTAGATATCTTATTATTATTAAGATTTATCTCTGCTTATTATTACTTAAGCAATTAAATTTATCGCAATATGAGATATTGATGTTTTATTTCATTTCGGGCTGCATGAACGGCAGGGATGCATGAGGAGGGATAAAAGAATATGAAAATAAATTATATCCCGTCTTCTAGCGCATGGCTAGCCTACGGATGCGAAGACGCATACTCTTTTACTCCGTCGAATACGCTTGGAATCTAACTTTATATCATGGCTTAATAAATATAAGCTGTAATAGTTTATAATTAATCAAATTTAATATAAATAGTAAGAGTTACTTTCTTTACAGGCGGACCCGCCTAAGCCTAGGGGATGCATGCATGCCTACTAGGCCTACGCCTATCCCGAGGCCTAGCCTACCCCTAACGGGAGGCATAGGGGAAAGGGGGCCCCCCTCCCACCCCCTTACGGGACAACGGGTTCGGGAGGGATGCATCCCTTCCCCCCCTAACGGTGGCCGTACCTACTTACCTAGGGGTGCAGGGATGGGGTGCCGCCTGAGGCTTAAGCTAAGGGATAAAACAATAATAGAGGGTTAAGTTTACAGATGGTTCTGTAGTGGATTTGCAAAATCTATTTTTAGGGTTCAATTCCTTCTTAACTCTAATTATATAATTATATAAATATTTAACCTAAATGTAATGTAATGAATGTAAATAAAAATAAAGCAAAATTAAAAAAAATAAAATAAAAAACAAAAAATATAAAATAATAAATATTATTGTAGAATTCTCTTAGTTTAATGGTAGAACATCATTCTTCTAAAATGTCAATTTTGGTTCGATTCCAAAAGAGAATTGATTAAAAATATATTTTTTAATTAAAATTTATATTTGTTTCCCCGTCTCGGGCGTAGGCCGGCGTAGCATCCTACAGATGCCCTTAGGACCCTAACGGGATGCATCCGAGGCCGTTGTCCTGTAAGGGATGGGGTGGGTGCATGAGGATGGAAAAAATAAATATAAATTTTTATAAGTTATAACCTATTTAGTTAGTTACAGTGTAAAAATATAACTATATAATATATAGTATAGCAGCGAAGCTGTAAAATAAATTATTGTAATATAAAAATAAAATATATTATAATTAAATTTATTATTTTTGTTATATTTGGTTATATACTTAATCTATTTTAGATTTTACAATAAATATAACTATAACTTATCATTTAAAAAACATAATAATATAATTATATAAATTTGTATATATAATTTTTATGTAAAAAACAAAATAAATGATTAAAATTAAAATTTTATTTAAAAAAATGATTAATAATAATTTAACATTAACTATTATAAATTTATTAATAAACTTAATAGATGTATTATTAGTTTTATTACCTGTTTTACTTTCAGTAGCTTTTATGACTATTATCGAACGAAAACAATTAGCAGCTCATCAGCGAAGAGTAGGACCTAATACTACTGGTTATTATGGTATACTACAACCTTTTGCTGATGCTTTAAAATTAATTCTTAAAGAAACTGTAATACCTTCTCAATCTAATAAAGTTTTATTTTATTTAGCTCCTATATCTACTTTAATATTTAGTTTATTAGGTCTTAATTAATCCTGGCTTAAATAAAATTTCACTAAATGCTAGAAAAATTTAAAAATGGTTTTAATTTCAAATTTAAAATAAACCTAAATAAAATTAATTTAACTAGCAAGCTAACATATAAAGCTTCAGAGACTATACGTGAAAATAGTATGTATGTATTTAATGTAATGTATAACAAAATATAAGACATAGTCCGAATTTCTAGCCTAATTATTATAAAACTAGCAGCGAATTAAATATATATTATATATATATAAACCGTATATTAATAGTGTTAGAAATAAGTGGGGTATTATACCTTTTGGAGAAGGTTTAACTCTTTCTGATTTTTCATTAGGTATTTTGTATACTTTAGCTTTATCTTCTTTAGGTGTATATGGTATTTTATTTGCTGGTTGGTCTGCTAATTCTAAATATGCCTTTTTAGGATCACTAAGATCGACAGCAGCTATGATTAGTTATGAATTAATCTTAAGTTCAGCTATTCTTATTGTAATTTTATTAACTGGATCATTTAATTTTACTACAATAATTGAAAGTCAACAAGCTATTTGGTTTGTTGTTCCTTTATTACCTGTATTTATTTTTTATTTCATATCTATATTAGCTGAAACAAGTAGAACTCCTTTTGACCTTCAAGAAGCTAAAATAGATTTGGCTTAAAACATTCCTATTTGCTGGGAAAATCTATTATTTTATTTACATAAAAAGTATTAAAATGTAAAAATAATAAAATAGGATTAATCAGCAGTTTAAATAACTCATCGACTATACGGAATGGTTCGAGTTTTTAACTAGAATAAGATATAGTCAAAAATAACTATTACTTATACAAATAGTACTGTAATTTTGTTTTATAAACAGCATGCATCCGTAGGCTAAGTAGGATGCGCCTAACGGATTACGGTCCATGTATATTTTATATTGAGCAGCGCATCCGGGTACTCTAAATATAAAGAATAAATAAACATGCTTCGCATCCACCCCGCTCCCGTACGGGTCCCTA